GGGGCGTGAGGTGGGGGCGTTGGCCCTCCACTTACCTACACTTTAAAAGGGTTTATGGTTTAAGGGTTTAGGGATTCGGGAATGGGCTTCGGGTACTTTAGGTAGTCATTGGCCTAAACAGCCTAAAGCGACCGAAGCACTAGTGTACAAGAACGAGACATTTGAAAAGGTGCGTTGATTTGGGTGAAGGATTCCGAGGGCCGCCTTCACTCTCGACTTTTGTCGGTCTTCCACAAAGGTTTTCCACGAAAAGACCCAACGAGTTAGTGGTTTCCGACTGAGCACCTAAACCCTGTATCCACAACCCGAAACCCAAGCACCAAGCTCCCAAATGTACCCCAAACCGTAAACCCTAAACCCTAAACCCGAAACCCTAAACCCTAAACCCTAAACCCATTCAGAAGTCGAGCTTCCCTTCCTGGCTTTGGGGCCGGCCTGTACCCTTGGACCTGTAAACCCTACACCCTAAAACCTAAACCCTGAACCCTGAACCCTGAACCCTAAACCCTAAACCCCAAACCCTAAACCCTAAACTTACAAAGCCTGGCATGGGCGCCCGACCCGGTCGTCCGGGCTATCCTCCAGGCGAAACCACTTCCTCAGCCGCGCCACCAGGACTTGTGACTGGAGGTTTGGAGGCGTCAAGTTGAGAGTTCTAAGGGGTTTTTAGGGCTTGTAGGGCTTGGGTTTAGGGTTTAGGGTTTAGGGTTTAGGGTTTAGGGTTTAGGGTTTAGGGTTTAGGGTTTAGGGTTTAGGGTTTAGGGTTTAGGGTTTAGGGTTTAGGGTTTGGGGTTTAGGGTTTAGGGTTTAGGGCCTTCGGCTTTAGCAGGGGTTTAGTAGGGTCTACTAGAATCCATATTGGAGAAAGTCTTTGGGCTGAGACTTCGAGAGTCCCTAGAGAACACGAAACGAAGAGCAATCTCCCTGAGATGCTGCTAGATAGGAGGTTCGGCGCCCTAAACCCTGAACTCCCAAGCCTTCAAAATATAGAAGCAAAGGTTGCTGGACGGACAGATAGACAGAAGGACAGATGCAATACCCTAAACCCAAAACCCAAAACCCAAAACCGTAAACCCCAAACCCTAAACCCCAAACCCTAAACCCCAAACCCTAAACCCTAAACCCTAAACCCTAAACCCAATGACCAAGCACTAGGTCGGCAGCAGTCGGCAGGTCTATAGGGTACAGGATTAGGGGGACCCGTTTGGGGACATAGACCCTCTGAATAAGGTCCCAGTTTAAGAGAGACAGAAGAAGGTTACGAAGGGCTCCCTTTTAAGGGTACCCCTTATCCGACCCTAGGAGTTTATTCGCAGACAGTCAGGTGGAGCAGCTGGGCGTATCACAGCTACAAGCAATGGGCACAACCCAAAAAACCAAACCCATTGATACAAACTGAACTTCAAAAGCATACGAAAATCACCCCTAACATAGTGGAGCAGCCCCAAGTCCTTTAGCAAGACTACATGCCCTAAACCCCAAGAACCCCTAAAAACACCCCAAACCCTAAACCCCAACCCCTAAGCCCTAAGCCCTATAAGCCCTAAGCCCTAAGCCCTAAGCCCTAAACCCTGAACCCTAAACCCTAAACCCTAAACCCTAAAACCCTAAACCCTAAACCCTACACGCATGTCGAGGGTCTTGAGCACGGAAGGTTGCGAGTCGATGTTCTTTAGCGCTGCCTTCACCCAGACGGCGGCCTCCTCTGTGGCCCTGCAAAAGGCGCAGTTGCGTGCGTAGGGTTTAGGGTTTAGGGTTTAGGGTTTAGGGTTTAGGGTTTAGGGTTTAGGGTTTAGGGTTTAGGGTTTAGGGTTTAGGGTTTAGGGTTTAGGGTTTTAGGGTTTAGGGTTTAGGGTTTAGGGTTTAGGGTTTTTAGGATTTAAGGTTGAGGGCTCAGGGTTCAGGGAATACGGTCTGAGGAGCTGAGGGTCTTCGACCCCAGCGAAGGGCACAAAAAGTCACCAGGGTGGGCTCAGGGTTCCTTCTGTACATAGGAGGTCGAACCTCTCCGCCAAGTAAAACCCGACACCCTCACAAACTCTCTGGACCATAAACTGATAAAACCCCTCTTTGCACCTCTATGCAATCCTCAAGCCGCTTGGCGCCCTTGTGAACCCCTGGGGACGAGACAGCCAGCGCGGACTGTAAACTCTAAACCCTAATCCCCCATAAACCCCCTCGGCCCCATTGATGAGAAGCAGTCTGCCCGGTGGCCTTGTCGTTGCTCCTTGCCTGGTGGCGGGCTGGGGGCTGCAGAGATCTATATCTAGAACCAAGAGCAAGCTAGGGTTTAGGGTTTAGGGTCTAGGGTTTAGGGTCTAGGGTTTAGGATTTAGGGTTTGGGGTTTAGGGATTAGGGCTTAGGGTTAGACCTAAGAGGAACCTAAGAATGCAAAGAGTGCCCTTCCTTGTTTAAAGCGGCATATAAGGGAACCTACACACTTAAACAAAGGGAAATGCGGGCCTACTCCGCTGGGCCCATCCCAGATTGCGATTGGCGACTATAAAGGCTGACACCCCCTGGACGACAACCGCGATGGCATTCATCTCCTTGCATTTCTGCAAGACAGCCTGGTCCACCGCACTTGCATTCCCTGCACCCATCTGAACCACAGCCTCGGTCATACCCTGTAGACATGACATTTGGTCAGCTGGAGGTTCATGCACAGCCGCCTGCTCAAAGACATGCATGTTGCCTGGACTGTTTGTGTCGGGAAGAAATCTGCTGCCGCACCATCCTTCCAGACCTTTTGGTGTTGCACACATGAGTTGTGTTGTTTAGGGTTTAGGGTTTAGGGTTTAGGGTTTAGGGTTTAGGGTTTAGGGTTTAGGGTTTAGGGTTTAGGGTTTAGGGTTTAGGCTTAGGGCTTAGGGCTTAGGGCTTAGGGCTTAGGGCTTAGGGTTTAGGGTTTAGGGTTTAGGGTTTAGGGTTTCCGCAGACATGCTCGTAAAAATCGTTTGGCAAGAGCTGTGTCACGTCCATGCCCAGCGTCTCGAAGGCATCCCCGGAGGTTAAGATGCATTTCTTCGTGGCTGGTGGGTCCTAGTTTTAAGGATTTAAGGCTTAGGGCTTAGGGCTTAGGGCTCAGGGTTCAGGATTCAGGGTTTAGGGTTTAGGCTTGAGGGTTTGGGATTTGGTGTTCTATGACTCTGCTCTGATGAGCGCCGAAGCTTCATACAGAGAGTGCTATAGGCTATAGAATCAGACTCTACAACCTTGCAACTCTGAAACCCCGACCCTAAACACTAAACCTTAAACCTTAAACCCAAAAGCCTAAGCCCTAAGCCCTAAGCCTTAAATCCTAAAAACCCTAAACCCTAAACTCTAAGCCAGACATGGAGGAGGAGAGGAGGGTCGAAGCTTCACGCGAGGCGAATAACTGTAAAGCTTGTGTGACATGATGTGGGTATCCCGGGTCGGCAAGTCAAGCTCAAGTCATACATGGAGGTTCATGGCCACTTAACTATAAGTAAGGTTCTAACCAAGGCAACTAAGGGTTCTAAGGTATGACCTGATTTAGAGTACTTGTAAACGGTACCCATGAACCTTCAAGTATACTTTTTTTTCCTATGGGGCTCCTCGGTTCACGTGGCTCCAGTACATATATATATATATATTGATTGACTGACAAGCCCTACCGAGACCCCCTTAAGAACCCTGCATGATACCCTGAAGACACTCAAAGTGACGACACCGTTGGCCTTATGCCTAAACCCTGAGCCCTAAGCCCTAAAGCCTGAACCCTAGATCCGTACTTGGAGGTTCATGGTACTTAGTAACCCAAGTAGACCTGTACTTATAAAACCCAATTACAACCCTACCTGGGTACTTAAGGGGCATATAAGTGAGTTCTAACTCCACTGATAATTGAGTTATTATAAGTACCCTAAACCCTAAACCCTAAACCCGGGGGGGGGGCGGGGGCGGGGGGGTGGGGGTGCAGGTCATGCTTTTGGACTACCTACGAGCCTGGACTCTGGAATGCTGGCATCGAAAGTCGCCGGCGGATCCTGCAAAGTTAGGGTTTAGGGTTTAGGGTTTAGGGTTTAGGGTTTCGGGTTTCGGGTTTAGGGTTTAGGGTTTAGGGTTAGGGTTTAGGGTCTAGGGTCTAGGGTCCAGGGCTCTGGCTCTCAGTAGGGAACGCGGGTCCCTATAGAGTCCCAGAGTTATATATGGGATGATCTAAGGTACCTACTTCCAGTCATTTCCTACGAAGAACCAGTAGAAATGGCTTTTCATAGGGAGGGGACCTCCGCTGCACAGTAAGAAGAGCAATAAGTGACTTGAATACACTTTAGGACTTTAGGGTTGCCGTTTCGGGTTTAGGGTTTATGGTTTGGGGTTTAGGGTTTTGGGTTGACTGCCCGAATGCTAGCAGCAGCGGGTGTGATTGACAAGTCTGCTACTATGTTACGCTTTGAACTTTGCAAGCCTCCAGCGTGCCATATTGTTGTGTGAATGTAGCACGGCGCTGCCAAATCAGGCCTACTCAGTCTCTCTCTCTCTCTCTCTATCTCTCTCTCTTTCTCTGTCTCTCTCTCTCTCTCTCTCTCTCTGTCTCTCTCGCTCTCGCACTCTTTCGTGAAAGTCCCATTCTTGCCCTGCTTTCCACTGCTCGCAGTTCCCGCAAAGCTCCACGGGCTTTTGGGGCCCGAGACCCACAGGCTTCGGGGGTGATACTCTGAGCCTATCTACGGGTTAGGGTTTAGTTCAGGGCAGAAGCCCTGAACCTAAACCCCCAAACCCTAAAACCCTAAGTCCGTAACACCCTAAAACCCTGAAACCGTAAGCCCTCAGCCCTAAACCGCTTTCGGGAGGGTTCCTGGGTCGTTTGTGTTTCTAAGCCGATACAATCACAAAATTAGGTCATCCACCCCCCCCCCCCCCCCCACGCCCCCGAAACCCTAAAACGAAAACCCGAAACCCTAAACCCTAAACAGAACTAGCCCAAAACCACGGAAGCCACATTCAAGTGGCCCTAAACCCTAAATCCTAAACCCTAAACCCTGGGCGATCGTGCTGCTCGTTGGAGCAGTGGCAAACTCATGGCTGACTCAGCCAAGGCCTCCAAGAGTTCAAGAACTTGCCTGGGATGGCCCTGAGGTTTAGGGCTTTCGGGTTTTAGGGTTTTAGGGGTTTGGTGTTTAGGGTTTTAGGGTTTAGGGTTTAGGGTTTTAGGGTTTAGGGTTTAGGGTTTGGGGTTTCGGGTTTAGGGTTTCGGAAAAGATGTTCCTGAGTATGATCCTCTTAAAACCCAAAAAGGGGGAGAAATAGAAACATGTCCCAACGGCCGACCGAGCTACCCTTGCTTCGACGACACCTCGCAAGATCCGATGGCGCAGGTGAAGCTCGTCTCGTCGGGGAGAATTGCTGCCAAAGGCATCTCGTCATAGAGCTGCAGGGCAATTCGCCACTGGGCTGCCTGCGCTTCTTGGTGCGGCCCAGAAGTGCCACTTGTTGGGAAGGTTTTTTCCTTTATACTAGCAGTCCATGAATAGGGGTGATATTTGGGGGGTACAAATCCTAAGCCCTGCTTAAAGGACTGTTAGTATAAGGGGGGAACATCCCAAGCTACATGCTTCATCAGAAGTGTGGCTTCAAGGAACGAGCAGCAAGAAAGCAACGCCAAATCGAAACCCGGGACGATCATGTTTTTAATTACCTGGTTCCTACCGCAACCCCTGCAAAATTGTTGAATTACTGCTAGGCTCCCGGAGGCCCCTGCTTGAATTCTACAATTCCTTGAAGCTTGAGGGTTTGGCTTTCGGGTTTAGGGTCTAGGCTACTTGGTGTACACCAAATCGACACGAGACCCCCCACCTTCTGGCAGGCAGCAAGCGAAGCGTTGCAGGTGATCCGGTTGGTCGGGATCCGGAGATTCTGCATCTCGGAGAGCAAGTAGTGAGCTAGCGCCCATACCTTGGGGACTAAATGAACCCTAAAAGGGTTTTAGGGTTCATATACCTTACTAAGAATCAAGAACCCCAAAAGGGCTTTAGGGTTCACATACCTTAGTATGTAGTGTAGTAGTCAAGGTATATGACCCCAATGTTAGGGTTCATCTCCTCCCAAGGTACCCGCGCCTTGTCGCATGCGCTGATTGCAGCACTGAAGGTGGTGGTGTTGGGTCTTAGGCGCGATGCCCTCATGCTGTTCAGAAGTGTGAGGGCCCACTGCCACTCCCCACTTTTCTCAGATGCGCTTATGGCCGCGTTGTAAGAGATCTCATTTGGCAGTGCCTCGGCTGACGGCATCTCAGCCAAAAGAGCAAGCGCCTTTTGCCATTGCCTGCCGCCCTTCTCACAGGCGCTGATCGCGGCGTTGTAGGTGACCTCGTTTGCACGTATGTGCTTGTCACGCATCACCTCCAGCAGGTATAGCGCAAGCTGCCAGAAGGAAGACTTCTCAGCTGCACTGATGCAGGAGCTCAGCGTAATGACATCAGGCTTCAGCACTGCGGACGACATCTCTTCAAGCTTCTGAACCTTGGGGACTACATGAACCCTAGAAGGGCTTTGTGGTTCATACTACTTTCATATGAAATATAGTGGCCCCAATTTTCGGGTTCGTTTCGTCCCCAAGGGGCTGCAACTGTCCACTGCCCCGTCCTTTCGCAGGCGCTGACGGTGGCATTGAAGGTGATGACGTCAGGCTTCGACGGGATGGTCGACACCTAGACCCAAGAGTAACCTGGGAAAAAAGCGGGTACCCATTTTGGTTTCAAGGGGATTATATAAGGAAACCCCAACCCTTAAAAAAAAAAAGGAATAAGGGCTTCCTCCGGATCCTAGACACCATGGAAGAAAGCTGCAACGCCACGTCCCACTTGGTCGCGGCGGTGCTGACTACCGCGTTGTAGGTGATGATATGAGGCCTGGCTGCGACTATTGGCATGCTTGCGAATAACTGCAGTGCCACCTGCCACAATCCTTGGTAGCCCAGTAGCCATATCACACGAAGGGTACCCATGGGGATGCTCCCCTTATACTAGCAGTCCTTCCAATTATAATCCCTAGTAGGGACTGCTCGGATAAGGGGGAACATCCCAAGCTATCCCGTTTTTTTGAGGAAATTGCTTACCTTATAAGGAAACCTGAACCTTGAACCAGTAAAAGAGAGCAAAAGGGTACCACGGGGCTACCAAGAATCCCGGCGCTTCGAAGATGCTGATGCTTGATGTGTAGGTGAGCTGATCAGGATCCTGGGTTCGCAAAAGTTAGGGTTTAGGGTTTAGGGTTTAGGGTTTAGGGTTTAGGGTTTAGGGTTTAGGGTTTAGGGTTTAGGGTTTAGGGTTTAGGGTTTAGGGTGGTTTAAGGTGGTTTAGGGCTGTTTAGGGTTTCGGGTTTGGGGTTGAGGACTTCTGGCCCGCTAAATGGATACGATACTATTCGCTGTACATTCTTGGCGGTAAATTACCTTAAGGCAACTCAAGTTCCTCTAGCCCTTTAACACAAACCCAAAATCAATCCCACAGGAGGGTGAAAGAGTACCATTCGTGCGCCCAGAATCATGTCCTGATGCCCCTGCCATTGCGAGTAGCGCGAGCGCCTTGGGCCACTGCGCAGTGCTGGCGGGCGCGGTGGCCACCGACGTGTGGACCTTGTTGCCAGCTTGCAAATCGCGCGCTCATCATAACAACTCCAAGAAGCAGATAAAGTAACTTAATTTCAGCTTCCTTAGGACAAGAGGTTAGGAAACCTTTGCAAACCGGAAAGTCAGGACACCACCTGGTTCGGCCGAATGCCGGCCACAAACATCTTCTTCAAGAGGAGCAGTCCCCAGCACCATGCCTCTGGTCGTAGGCTGCTTTAGGGTTTCTAGGGCAGAGGGGTTGCGGGTTTGCAGGGATGTAGGGGCTTGCAAAAGAGACGTAGGGCTTAGATGGATTTAGGGCATTTCTGGCGTTCGGGAAGAAGGCATTTGGCCTTGTGAGGGTGGCAGGTTTCTAGCAATGTCTCTAGGCCTAAACCCTAAACCCTAAACCAAAAACCCTAAACCCTAAACCCTAAACCCTAAACCCAGCTGTCTTAGGGCTGTGCAGAGTGGAGGTTTCGGGTGTGATGGGGCTTCAGGAACTGCATAAGGCTTTGACATGGGGAACCGAACTCTTGCAAAAAATGGGTTTAGGGTTTAGGGTTTAGGGGTTTAGGGTTTAGGGTTTAGGGTTTAGGAAGAACTGAATTCTGGTGAAGGAACTTAAAGATTAAGGTACCATCATAAGGCTACTGTCTATCGTCTATTTTGTAGCCCTAAGATGGTGTCTTCACTAAGAAAAGTCAGAAAAGTTTCCTTAACAAGAATCCTTAAAACCCTTAAGGGCTGATAGTGGGCCTCCTGCAAGGCTCCACTGGCTGCGCCGTAGCTGACGACATCAGGCGGCAGCCGCGTTCCTTGCGGGTCCCAAGCGGGAAGTTACGAGGAACTAGGCAAACCTAAACCCTAACCCCCTAAACCCCCTAAACCCCCTAAACCCCCTAAACCCCCTAAACCCCCTAAACCCCTAAACCCCTAAACCCCTAAACCCCTAAACCCCTAAAC